CCCCCCCCCCCAAACAGGCTATTGGGAGGAAGGTTTTTAAAAGTATTTTCAGAGAGTGTTGACTCAAAACTATTAACAAAATTACCTGTAGAAATGCCAATGCATTAGATCCAAACTGCTTGGCGTTGCCCCAGAAAAAGTGGCCTGGAACTATTGTTGGTTCACCGGGGCGTCTGATGAGGCAAAAACATTACAGTGATGAAGATGTTACCTCATTAATCTTGTCATATAGAGAGGGTTTGAACAAACATTCATTACAATCAAATTGCAGTAAAACAAAAGAGATTTTGAACAAACATTCATTACAATCAAATTGCCGTAAAACAAGAGAGGTTTTGAACAAACATTCATGACAATCAAATTGCCCTAAAACAAGAGAGGTTTGAACAAACATTAATTTTGTTACAATTAATGAAAAGCGCAGGAAATGAGAAATAGAAGAGATTACAGGTGTAAACCATATTATTTAGACAATAAAGCAATGTCGAGACATATTATAGGCGAAATACAACTCCTCACTATATCCAAAGCTGCATTCGATGGTTTTTAATACCGATTACATCATATCAAAATGACATTTTTTAAAGCACATCAAAGACAGAATTTCTCTTCCAACATGTTCCTAATAGTACCTAGTAACATACAGATCCTCTGTCCTGAAATCAAATCACATGACACAGCACGGAACAATGGTGATAGCTAATATATCTTTGCAGTGCACTCTCTTCCAATTATGTCCTTAACGAAATGAGGTCAAACATTTGTGGCGCAACTTATTGTCAAATATTTCCTAAACTATCGAACATTAACTCTCCAGCTTTTGCACAATGACTTGTTTCAGTCTGTCTTTACAGATCTATACTTTTACCAACACGTATTAGCTGTATTCTAGAATTTCCTTTAATAAAAGCTAATTAAAAAATCCAAGAGAAATTTCTACAGATTTTAAAAGATTAACAGTTGGGGCAATATTGATTTCAAAAACAAGTCAGTCATTTTTTTTTCTAACCGTGGTATTATTTTTATTGCATGCATGACTTGAGAAATTTTAGTGCAAAAACGTGTTCACTATAAAATTAATTTCTTGTAACAAGTTTAGCCTATAAAAAGTGTCATTGGTGAGCTGTGACGTAGACCATATGCGTATATAAATATGTATGAGAAGCTGGAAGTGCTGTGAACAATCCCATTTTCTGTGTGACGGAGATTTATAGTATTTTATATAAATTCAAGAAGACAAGTTTTTTAAATCTAGTCTCAATTTGTTGTGAAAAGATGTGATTAAGTTAAGACAAATTGGTACAAAACGCAGTTGAAAGTATGGATGACATTGATTCCCCCTTTAAACAGATACGATATTTGAGGATACGTTGCTCAACGAAGTTTTGACAGCACAGTAGTGCATTCTCTGGATACTTCAGATGGTGGGTTTGAGATAGCCGTGGCACTTGCACAGAGACAAAGGTTAAAGTTACAGTTTTACAGGCTGCTGTCCCCCCCCCCCAAATCCTGTTTCGCAATCCCAGAGACAGGATGTTATTTTGAACTATCCTCAGGGAAACAAAAAGTTGGCACTCCGGAAAAGCGCTACAATGAAAACCCTGAAAGTGTCTCCGACGGATTTTAACATTAATTCATTGACATGGAAGAGATTTGTTCAAGACAGACCCAGTTGGAGAGCAGCAGTCTCAATGGGCAGCAAGTGATATGCGTCTTCACGGATGAGCAATTCTGTAGCCAACAGAGAAACTCGTAAGCTGCCCACATCCACTAGTGGAAATGAAGTTTTTAAATGCTCCAAATGTGACAACCTTTTCTCAGCCACAGTTTGTCACATTAGCTACTGCAGAAGCCAAAGCTTCAAGTCGTCTCTTTCAAAACGAAGGGGATTACATCTGTCTGATCAGCAGCAAAGTAAAGCCAATGTTGCGGCACATTTCCTACCATCATACCACAATGAGAAACACGAGTGTGCAAGTTTAATTGTGTGCATGTTGTTTCATGCCTTTTAAAGTTTCAGATAAAGAAAGCAGAATAAAAAAAAAATACATGTTTGAATAATGAAGTTATGCCCCGCAACAGCGCATCTTCTAGTGTTGTCGAATAACCGGAAAACGTGTCCTCAACGAGATAATTGTTAATTGTCCTGTTTTTCTCAAGGGATATTATGCTCCTCTGCAGATGCGCTGGCCATCATTAGACATTTATATTATGATAATAATAGACTGAATTAATATAGCGCTCTATCCCATACTAGTATAAGCCCTGGGTGTTTTACATTGACAGACGAATATTCTGTTATTATAATAATGAATCATTTGAAAACACCTTTACTGTGTTAAAAACGATTGCCCCCTTTTCTTTGTGCGTATGTATGGGGGCGG